AAGGGTACCCCAAAATGAATTTTTTTTTCTATTGAACAAGCCTTACATAGGCATCTGGCTTTCAAGGTGCATCTTTAATTGTGCAGGGCCTGGCACTTGCCTTGTAAATGACGCAGGTAGATGGAGAATTAGACCACAAGTTGGTCCAGTTATGGAAGAAATGCTGAAACATGAGTGCTGGTCTTCCAGCTCAGCACTGCTGTAATTGCTGCTTGATCATGTGCCGCTGTGTCTGAACAGAAGAAGGTGGTGGTCTAGAAGAATCAATGAGAGGAAATATTCCTAAAGGAAGGGGTCAATGACAAAACTCCCATTGACTCTAATGGAGCCAGGATTTCACCCTAGGAAGCCTCATAGTTATCCATCTTTGGATAGGTCTCTACTGCAACCCAAGGTGTGATTTCAGTGCCGGCAGACTTACCCACCCCAGCACCACTAAAAATAGCAATGTAGATGCAGTGGCATGGACTTCAGTGCAGACTGGACAAGCATGCCGGTGACCCTGGACATGTACTTACATTACTAGCCCACGCTGAAGCCAGTGCTGACGTGTCTACACTGATATTTTTAGTTGTGATAGCATTGGTATAGCTACCAGTGCTGCAGTCACACCTCCGATTGCAGTGTAGATGTGCCCTTAGGCTACTTCCATACTCTGAGCTGGGGGAGTGATTCCCGGCTGGTGTGGGCATACTGGTGCCAGCTCTCCTCTGAAGTAGCATGCTAAAAATGGTAGTGTAGCCGTAGTAGCATGGACAGTCGTGGCACAGGCTAGCTGCCGTTCCCACGGGGTCCAGGTGGGTTTATACTCCTAGCTGATGGCTCATGCTGCTGTTGCCCATGTTACTGTGACTCTGCTATAATTTTTAGCATGCTGGTTCAGATGAGAACTAGCATGATTTATGTCCACGTGAGCTGGGAATCACACCCCCAGCTCCAAGTGTAGACCTTGCCTTAACCTCTCCTTCTATAAGACCAGAGCTGGCAGTGGGTTGGATCCTCCTCTAAACCTCGGCTGAATTCAGTGCCGATACCATAATATTAATGCAGTTCCAGCCTGCTCTGTTATGGGGTAAACGTCACATTCTGCAAAGCAGACCTGCTCTTTCTGGGGACTGGATAAGTTGAGACTGATGGTTCGTGTTTCATGGTGCCCGGGATTAGATAGTATAACCTCCAGTTCCAATCACCTCTGCGGTGCTTTCTCAGTCGCCTGGTTCCTGGGCGCACACATTCAGTCGTTGGTGACCGATAGTAGCCCAAGGCGAAGCTCACGTTTCATTACCCCTCCAGGATAACTTGGGAAAGGGGGAATTTGTAATGTCCTTTAGCATAATCTACTGGAACATAAAACTCTAATAACTGCTCCTTTTCTAGAAGTTTAAAGCTCTAAAATGCCTAGATTAATTTGTGCAGAATTAGAGCAGTTGAACAGAGGGGCTAATGACTTGACCCAGGTGCCCAAGAAAAATGGGAAACGAATCCTTTTTCAACAGCTGTTAAAATGAGCCATTCTCCTTCCTGCTTTAGTGCCCTGCTCCTAATCTCCTTTCAAAACATATGCATTCAGGAGATACGTTTAGTGGAGGGATGGCTTTGTGTATGTGCCCAGTCATTTTCCCCCATCCCCACTTAGGAGATCAGCCAACCGTGGTAGCAATCCAGAGTGCAAATTTCTGAGCATGATCATGGCACTTCAAGGCAAAGGGCGTGAAAGTGACAACTGTTCCCACGTTATTTAAACTCTCTTTAACGAACGAAGGGTCAAAACAAACAGATGCCCTTGAGCTGCACATTGAACGGCCGTTGATATGAAGCAGAACTCTGTGTGCTGTGGATCCAGGGCCGTGTATGTCCTTAAATGTTCCCTCCTCTTAGCCTCCTTGATACATATCTCTTAGCAGCACGGTTCTGACCCAGGAAGAGCTGACCATAGAGCTGGGCACTTAGTGGGGTAATTGGCTGCCGTCTGTGGGGTCCAGGAGCTGGAGAACTGGTGAACCATGCTGCCTTGCAGCCATCTGCAGCTTTCTTGGGGCGGCTGGTCCTGCAAGAAGCTGAACGTGTTTTGCTCCCATTGACCTCAGTGGGAATGGGTGGCCCTCTGCGTCGTAAGTGATTGAGCTCCTAGGGCCAAACTGATATTTGCCCTGCAGCCTCTTTATGCCATCTAGGTTGGTGCAAAGGGGCTGTAGAGCAGACACAAACCTCCACCCCCCAGGGAATAACCCCTGCACAGAGGGTCTTATTACCCCCTCTATGTGAGTCCCTCCGCCTCCCCCACTGCAAGGGCAGGGGTAGGCTGTAGGAGGGTGGAGGTGGGACCCTGGCTGCCCAGAATAAGGGAAGCACAAGCCGCCTCCTTCTGTCCCTGCACCAGTGCTCACACCAGCACAGGGATGAATTTGCCCCATAGTGATTAACCACCAGGACCACATAATAAGCTTCAGGTGGTTGATCTTGTACAGGTACGTAGTGCTGGACATGGAGCAGGGTGTGGGTGTCACTCTGCCTCCCTCTTTGCAGTAGCCTGTTCGTGTGAATCTGGGAACAAATGAGGGCAGTAAGAAAAATGGGCCATGCAACGCAAAACGGGTAAACTTCAGTGGTTGGCAGGTGTGTAAGGCCTAGAATATCGCCTTCTGGAGAGCAGCGGAGCGTAGGTGGGTAGACACCATTGAGATCCCATAGAGACACAAGAATGTTCATTACTATTCATTAAACACTGTTTGAATATTTGGTTTTATAAGAAGAAAACTCCTGTGTTTTGGATCTGAACTAGGATTGCCAATTTTAGTTGGACGTGTTCCTGGAGGTTTTAACACATGGCTTAATCTTTAATTCCCTGGAGCCTCCAGGCCAATCCTGAAGGGTTGGCAACCCTAATCTGAACTACTGAAAAGTGTTCCTATATTCACAGCATGCAAACTTCATGTCTTTTAAAAACCAGATGAGAAACTATCTGCTCAATTCACTAAATACATCACAAGGGAAGCAGAGAAACAAGCACACAGAATTGCAGAGGAACTGCCTGAGCTGAACAGCGTGATGGGTATAAAGTGCCCGTGGAGGCCTATGGTGTGATGGGTATCACATAAGCAGAATTTATGTCCAGTGTTTAAATCATCAGGGAAGATGACTTTTGAGATCAATCTGTGTGGCGAAGTCACTAGTTGAGCGGGTGTCCTTGTCAGAGATCTGTTCCTGGGTAAGATCGGATCCTGCTTGCGCTGCCAGCAATTACACTTGGAGAGAGAGTTCAATTCGCAGCGAATATCTCATCCGTGAAGGATGGTTATCAGTCTGTGCAAGGTTAAAAGAGCTCCAGTATAAGTCATGGCTACAGTGACTGTTTGCTATGGGATGCAGTTTTGTATGCTGCTGAAAAGAGGGACTGTTGCAAACTTGCTCGTTTTGTCAAGCATTGCCTAGCAGGAAACAAAAATAAATATAGATAGATAGCACGGTGCTCATAGCCTGGGAAATGGATCCCAGCGCTCTGGGT